CAGACCTCTGTTCAGCCAGATTTACTGTAAATGTCACACACCAACATGATAATGACAGAAATGGACTCTAAGACCACAGGCCAGTCATTTTCAAACAATGAACATTGTGTGCAATGTTTCACATCACACACAAACTCTCAGTTCAACCAAGTCCACAAACAAAAAATATAACAATTTACAATGAGCGTTTTTCTCATTACTATGCATTTTGCTTAGTGGGGACTTGAAATGCCTGGCATATAAGCAGAATGGCTTGCCATTACGTTCAACAAAAAAATATAAACTCTCCCACTCTGTTAAAAACGTCTGTGTCATCTTGATATTTTCGTTTCCTTGACAACAAATTGTTTACTCAACAATAAGGTTTTCCCTCCCTCCAAGCTGAGCGGGCAGTTTTATGTTGCTTGTTGCGACGGAGGAGTCGAGCCTTCGTTGCCTCCGTCATGGCGCAAATTAGCGGGTTCACCCGGGTGTGACGTTCACATCAATGCCGATCGGAGGTGAAGCCGATTAATATCGGGTGTTAGCGGGTTTACATAGGATTTTTTGGGAGCTTCGGGTTGGCCAGGCCTGCTCTAGCGGCAGAAATTGTACGTTTAAAGGCTGAAAACTGAAAACTCTCGTGAACCTCCAGTCTCCATTTTGGAGTGACATAGAGGTGTACTCCAGGGTGTGTCAGTACGCCGTGACCTCACTGTGATTACAGGTTCAACCACAGGGGGCAGTGAAACACAGACGTTCAGGCTGCTGTTAAGTTACTCTTTAATAATTTGTGGTCTCTCTGTAGGACGTTACAGCCGATCAATATTGTTGTCACCAGAGGGTCTCTAAAGCAGGTTAAAGGGTTTTATTGTTCCTCGGATCAGATGTAAAAACAAGTTTACTTAGCATGAAGTCGACACACTGCTAGAAGCTGTTTACATATTTCACACGTGAAACCAAAGACGGACAGAATGAAGTGTTATTATTGAATATTATTATTGATTGAAACATTTGTATATTTATAGGAAGCAGAGACAGCGACCGCCTTATTGGGGTCCTGTTGAAATGCAAGGAATTATTATTCTTCTGCCTTTTTTTGGGATTAAAATAAAAACGTCTCTTTTGATGGTAAAGGTCGCTGACACATACTGACCGAGGTTACTGGAGATAAAAGAAGATAAAAGAGTCAACAACAACAAGACAACAACTGTGTGTTTTCTGGAGAAAGTGTAGTAAAGGAAAAGAGATAGAAGAGAGGAAGGGAAGGAGGAAGAAATTAACAAAATGGGAGGAAAAGTTTGGAAGAATGAAGAAATAAGGAAGGAAACAAAAGGAAAAGCGTCTGTTGGGGATTTAACCACAAACCAAACACACAGTTTCACATCAACACATATAAAGTATATTATATATATATATATCTTCAGCGTCTGTTAATGCGACATTAAACTGCGACAGTACCTGAGAGTAACGACCACAGCTCTTATTTAAATCTCATTTCTTCTGTGTTTTGTTCAGTCGGCTGTGTTCTGTTCTGTCCCGTTTCCTCCACAGTTCAGTCGGCCATCTTCAGCTTCCAGAAGTCTGTCTGCTTCAACCTGCAGCAGCCACCACACCTGCTGAGCACACACACACACACACACACACACACACACACACAGGTACCTACGTAGTCAGTGTTCAAACAGAGGTGGAGTCCTTGCTGCTAAAATACCAGTTATTCAAATATGTGTCATTCAACAGAACAACAGCGACTGAATTAAGTCTGTGTGTTTCCTCCTTTACTTCAGAGATAAACTGCCAGATAAAGTTCCTAATGAGACATTTAACCCTCTGAACTCTGCCAGAGAAAAGGCCTCCGTTGGTATTTTTACGTCAGATCTTCGAGTACTTTGAGATGATTCATGTCCCTAAACCCTGTAAAACCGAAGCTAAAAGGTTTTATAAGTAAATAAAACATAATAATTAAAAAAGGGACTAAAATTTAGTCATAAATACACTTTCTTTATTGTTTGTTTTATCTATTTCTTTTCCTTTTTTTTAATTGTTTTTTGGTGTGAGTTGGTTCTGCTTTGAATCTTCTGTAGTTTATTAGTTTGTACTGAAATAAAAAGAACAAAAAAAGTATATATGTGTACGTATTTATATATAAATAAGCATGGGACATTAATGTAAACAAACAACGGTAGGAAGAATGATGAATGAAACACATCATCAGATTTTATTAAATAAAAACAAGAAACAAAATGATTCAAAATATTTCTAAATGTAGAAACATGAACTTAATATTTCCTGAAACTCCAGAAGTTGTTTTAATTTTTGAGATATGATCATTTTAACTTAAATTTTTTAGCTGCTGCTCTCCTCCTGGATATCACCCAGAGTGCAATGTTACGATGTTAAAGATTGAAGTTATAGCTTGAACGTTTGAGCTAATATATTTTTTATTTTATATTGATTTAAAAAAGTTAAAGCTGCTTTTAGAGGGTTAAATATGTTTCAATCAATCAAACTGTATACCTGTAAGTTACAGAAACATCCCTGATTATGTCAGTTTCAACAACTTTTATTTTAAGTTAAATGAACGTATCTGGTTTCCTCTCTATTGATCACAACAGTTCCACTCAAAACTGATGGAAACGTGGGCCGGTTCGTTCGATGGCATCGAGCTAAGAGAGCTAATTGGGTGGAGAAACTATAAACTATATATATATATATATATATATATATATATAAACTATAAATGACACATTTTTTGGGATATTAATGAGAGAACAGCTGATAAACTGAACAGTGAACTCAGTAACTGCAGGAAGTTTGTGTAAAACGAGCAATTTGGATGAATTTTGAGCAGATTATTTCTTATGAATATTGATCAGTTTTCCTCATATTTTTATTTTTGATCATTTGTAACAATCATTCAGACTTAATACGCTTCTTTTTTTGACAGGTTAAGTCATTTCTTCTCAGCTCTTTGGTTGTTTTCTAATGCAGGATGAGGCAGTTTATCAGAGACTGAAGCTCTGTGGATCTAACTTGTGTTCAGATCTTCAAAGTTTAGATTTGAAATAATAATCAGAACTTCATTTATAGTTTCCCTCACAGAGATATAAGCCTACAGTGTATACAGAGTGACCCCTAGTGGGGAACCACTGCCGGGATTTAGTGGTAATGAAAACATTTTCTGTACAATAGATCTTCCTAAATGTTACACACTGGCCTTTATTGTAAATGTCTGTAAATGAAAAACTGACACACATATTTACTTGATATTGCATTTATTGGTTTTAAATGGTGAGAAAAACCGGAGCAGGGCCAGAGCCAATCAGAGTGCAGCAATCAGAGCAGGAAACAGCAACTATCAACAGCCTTTCCTCCAAAACTTTAGTTTATATTACGGCTTCACTGTAAGTTAATTTAACTCAAACAAATAACTAACTTTTGTAAGTACAATAATGTTTCTGTAACTTAAAACAATGTAGTTTGTTATGCATAAATGTTTCAATTTAATCAGTTTCAACAATTTGTTTTAGAGTTAATAACATTACAGCCTAAAGTGAAGTTACATTCACATCGTGTGGATCCTCGAGCTCTAAATAAGTAAAAGCAGATTTTTAAGTATCTTAAATCCTTGTGCACAGAGACGCAGCTCCACTGGAGGTCTAAACCTCCACTGGGAACCTTTAAGAAGTTAAATGCTGAGTTTAAATAAATTAGTCAGAATTCCCACAGGAGGGAAAATAAAATGAACATAAAGAGAGCAATGTGTCGCCGACACTCGCAGAAAGATGACTGTAATCGTACATTTACTAGCTTTTTCCAGAGGTTAATAAAACACTTTATACTAGAAGGTACACATTAACTAGTTGCTTATTAGCTCTTTATTAGTCACTATAAATCACTTATTGCCTTATTCTGCAACTATTAGGCCATCAGCTATAAGTTTCCCTCAATAACCTCCTAATTATAATAATTATTGATAGTAATTAAGGAAGTTGTTGTACATTAATTATGCTCTTAATAAGCGGTGCTCAGTATGGGCTTTATTAGATGTTAATAACTCTTAATAAATGACTTTTCTTAGGTAACAAAACTAAAAGTCTTAATAGTCCGAATAACTGTAAATTAACTCAGAATATGTTCCCCGCTGACTGACATTGATTTATTGTCATATGCGAGCGAATAAATAGCAACAAATAAACACCGCATAACAGCCAAATTCACGTACAACTTCCTTACTTACTATTAATAAGCAGTAATTCCTCTTCTAGATGTAGAATAGGGTCAATGTATTAAGTGATTTATAGCGACTAATAAAGAGCCAATATGTTGCTATTATACATGTTAACAAGCAGCTAGTTAAAGGTGAATACCGTAAAACCTCTATTAGTAGCCCAGTTTATTCAAATCCTTTAGCACAAAAATCATTTCAGGTTTTTTTCTCTGACAAAAGTTGAAACATTTATGGATAATTTCCATAAAATCCACACCAGGCCTCTAATGGAGACACCAGGCTAGTAAAGGAGACCTGCGTCTTTTCGGGACTTTTAATAGAAGTTTTACGGTATGTGTACCTTTGATATAAAATACCAATTTAAAAGGAAACAAATGATAAATTAAACTCTTTCTAGTTTCTAATTTTCCCATCAGAGATATTGACGACTGAGCACGATGAAGCTCAACATTATTGAACGTTTTTTAACTCACAGAGAAACTTCAGAGTGGATTTATTCCTTCTTTTTTTAAACTGAGCAGTTACAGCTTCCTGCTCTGATTACACATCATATTCGTCGTGTTGAAACTCTTTCACACTGTAAAAAACAAGAAACAAAAACACTCCCTCCTTCGTTTACAAGAGAAACCTCCACCGAGCCAAAATAATATATATATCTCTATGTTCTGTAAATGAGCGAGTACTCGGCTCCTCTGGGATCTTTTTTTTGTTTTGTTTAAACTATATGTTCTGGAAAGCAAAGAAGACTGATCTGCAGTCAGTGTTTATTTACCGCCTCCCCCACAAAAACCCTCCTTTATCATTTTATTCAGAACATTTAAATAACATTAGAACTAAATGTGGTACAGTTTGGATGTACACAGAGGATCCCGCTGGGTTGGAGGAAGGTGGTTGTTGTTGTTTGTGACGCAGGCACACACACAACTTCCTGATTCTCCTCTGTTATGTACAATGAAGGTGTGACAGCGGCCCGGCGGATCAGAAGTTGATGGCTTTGCCAAAAGAGGCGGCCAGGTTTGCTTCTCTGAAGGCCTCCGACACCGTCTGCAGGAGGAAGAGGATGAAGAGAGAAGAGATCACTTTCCAGGAGACAATAGAGGACAGTTAACTAACGTTTAACTGTTGCAGAGCTCATTAATACAATAATAAACAGCTCAAATCAGCCTTTTTACATTATTTGCCTCCTTGGAGACAATTTTTCTTTAAATGTTTTACATTTTATTGTTTTTATTGTATTCATTTTTAGCTTTTATTTATGTTTGTTGTTTATGTGTTGTTTCTATTTGCTGTGTGAAGCATGTTTGCATGAAAGCTGAGAATATATTGTATTTTCTTTACACCTATTAATAAAAGGAGGTAGTAAAGTGACACATGTATAATTAAATGTAAATCTGTGACTAATAACGTCTGCAGGTTGAGTGAACAGCTGTGTCATACGCAGGTTATCCAACCGACAGTCGAGGTCAAACTAAATCCACAACCAGCTTTACTGAAATACTATTTCTGGAAAACTAGTCTCTAAATTT